CAATCCTACATGCTTAGCATAGGATGCTAGTATTTTTCATCTGTGGCCCTACATTCTTGTTCGTCTGTTGTGCTATACTATCGGGCCGCGATCACTCGGGAGGTGATCACGGGTATATACTATATACGTTATACATGATACATGTGGTGACCAAAGACGGGTCGGCTGGTGGAGCACCCGCGAGTGGATCTTTGTGGCGGAGCGACAGGGCAGGTTGAGACCGCCTAGGAGAGAGGTGGGCCTGGCCCTGTTCGGCGTTCGCGGATATTTAACACGCTTAACGAGATCTTGGTATTTGATCTAAGTTGGCTACGAGCCTATACGCACTAACCATCTACGTGGGAGTAGTTATGGGTATCCCGGCGTCGTGGTATCAGCCGAAGCACTTCAGACGTCAGCGACGGAGCGGCGCGCGCCGAATTGGACTAGAACGCCTGCTAGGCTAGGTCTGCTTCCGGCCGCCCTCGCAACGTGCAGGTGCGCTATGGGCGATGGGCCCAGACCCCTGTGCGCTTAGGTTTAGACCGGCGTGCTGGCCTCTCTGTTTTGCCTAGGTGGGGCTGCGACGTGTTGGTCTTCCGAGGCCGGGCATGACCCAGGAAAGTGTGTCCGGCCAAATGGGATCAAGCGTGTTGGGTAAGTTGGTGCACCCCTGCAGGGAAGTTAATCTATTCGAATAGCCGTGATCTTCGGTAACAGGACGACTTGGAGTTGTACCTTGACCTTATGACAACTAGAACCGGATACTTAATAAAACACACCCTTCCAAGTTCCACAGACAACCCGGTGATCGCTTTTCCACAGGGCGACGAGGGGAGGATCACCGGGTAGGATTATGCTATGCGATGCTACTGGAGATGCTACTTGGAGATGCTACTTGGAGGACTTCAATCTACTCTCTTCTACATGCTGCACGACGGAGGCTGCCAGAAGCGTAGTCTTCGATAGGACTAGCTATCCCCCTCTTATTCTGGCATTCTGCAGTTCAGTCCACTGATATGGCCTCCTTACACATATACCCATGCATATGTAGTGTAGCTCCTTACTTGCGAGTACTTTGGATGAGTACTCACGGTTGCTTTCTCCCCCCTTTTTCCCCCTTTCCTTTCTTTCTGGTTGTCGCAACCAGACGTTGGAGCCCAGGATCCAGACGCCACCTTCGTCGACGACGACTACTACTCTGGAGGTGCCTACTACTACGTGCAGCCCGCTGACGACGACCAGGAGTAGTTAGGAGGATCCCAGGCAGGAGGCCTGCGCCTCTTTCGATCTGTATCCCAGTTTGTGCTAGCCATCTTATGGCAACTTGTTTAACTTATGTCTGTACTCAGATATTGTTGCTTCCGCTGACTCGTCTATGATCGAGCACTTGTATTCGAGCCCTCGAGGCCCCTGGCTTGTATTATGATGCTTGTATGACTTATTTATGTTTTAGAGTTGTGTTGTGATATCTTCCCGTGAGTCCCTGATCTTGATCGTACACATTTGCGTGCATGATTAGTGTACGATTGAATCGGGGGCGTCACACCGGGGGTGCGCGTGGTGGTGGTGCCTCCACTTGGCGGCGGGGCGGTCCGGTGGGGCTGGGTGGCCGGTGTCGTGACCCCGGCCCAGATCTGGGCCCATAGGGCCCTATCTGGGTCCTAGCGGGCCGGCTACGGCTTGGCCTTGACGCTCTCTGTGCGGGGAGGCAGGGGAGCGGCTTGGACAGGGGCGGCGACGCCGTTGGCGTGCTGGCTGCAGCGCGAAGGCAGGAACTTTACGGGCCTCGGAGGTCCTGGCCGGGCCTGGTATGTTCCTGCTATTGCGTCCGGTCAGCTACCGTCGTTGACGGCGGAGGTGGGACCCTCCCGCGTGCCAACGGTGTTGTTGCCCTAGTCCTGACTCCTCTTCTTCATTGTGCAGGCCATGCTTTCACGGTGCCGTGGTGAGACAGCGTGGGAAGCTTCTTGACCGGGTTGGCACAGGGTGGTGGTCGGTTTGGTGGCGAGCTCTGGAGTTCCTGAGATGGAGATTGGGATCGGGAGAAATCCATGTTGGCTTGGCCGACACCGACGCGGTGGCGCATGAGGGTGCCGCCGGACCTTCCTGGAGGGCGTCGGGGCTATCCTTCCTCTCTCCTCACCGCGTACCGGGAGAAACCCTGGCAACAACGTCGTCATCGTCGCGTCCCTTCTTGGAGGTGTTGATTGGTACCGGCGCTTCGGAGGCTCGGAGCTTGATGGGCGATCTCCGGTGGATACAGCGGTCACGAGGCCTCTTCGTTTTTTGTCGATCCGCCATTGTCGGCGTTTGTTTCTCTTGTATTTTCTTTTTCATTTCTTTTGGACGTGATTGTGCTGCTTTCGCCCCAGCACCTATCGTTGATTCTCTCGGTTGGTTGCTTTGTATACAAAGCTTGGAACCCTTTTTCGATAAACATACATACATACATACATACATACATACATACATACATACATACAAGAGAACAAAGAGACATATAGGTGTCACAATTCTATTAGATGGAAAATTTGATTGAAAGCCAATTAGATTTCAGTCAGATGTTAAATAGACAGTCCCATTTTATCAAAGGAAACGAGACAATACACAGAAATTGCTCATGCTAATCAAACGCGTCGTTTGGGCATGCGCTAAAGGAAACTTACAAATCTTAGAATTTGTATCAAAAGGATTAGCAGTTAGATGTGAGATGACTAATTCTCATTTAGATGAGAATTAACAAAATCGAAACTAAAAAGATAATCTCCTCGAGCGGCCGGGATCGCAAAAAAATTGAAAAAGAGAGAGAAATTAGAACACTTGGTACATCCGAAATACGGAGAAAAGAAATCATGCCGCACATGTGTTGGCCTTGTCGACTCCCGTGGCGGTGACCTTGACGTGGGTGCAGACAGCCATGGTCTTGTTGTTCGTGCCGGAGTACTCGATCTTGACGTCGGACATTGTGATGCCTTCACAGGGCTTCTTCTCGGAGCAGAGCAAGCTGACGGCCTCGGGGGTGGAGGACGTGCCGGTGATGTTTTTGAACGTAACGTCCTTGACGGTGACCCTGTCGGCGTCGCCCTTGGAGGTGCAAAGTTTGTTGGGGCAGTACTTCTGGTCGATGATGATGGGGTTGCCCGAGTCCTCCATCTTGACGTTCTCGTAGGTGATCTTGGATGCTACGAGGGGCGACTTGGCGTCCTCGTACGACTTGATGCGGAGGCCGTTGCTGGAGCCCTTGAGCACGCAGTTCTTGACGGTGATGTCGGTCACGTCCTTCTCGTCCTTGTACCTCCCGAGGCTGCCAATGCTGATGCCATGGCCTGGGCCGCAGGTCACGCCGCTGATGTTGACTTTTGTGGTGCCGGGGCCCATGGAGATGCAGTCGTCGCCAACGCCGATGGTGGTGTCGATGATGCTGACATTGGACGAGTCGCCCATGTGGATACCGTCGGTGTTGGGGCTGTCCCCGGGCGCGCTCACCTTCACGTCCTTGACGGTCACGCCCTTGCACTGGAAGATGTTCATGTGGAAGAACTTGGAATTGATGATAGAGATGCCTTCGATGAGCGCGTCGTCGCAGAAGTCCAGCACCAGCGACTGCATGCATGCATGCATGCACATTTACGTGCGTAAGAATATAACAGCATTTCTTCAATAATAGTAAAAGAAATATACGCACGTATATATAATTTATTACTATATAATGTTATGCACGCGTACGTACGTTTGGCAATATCTTGCAGTTGTAGTTCTTTTGGCAGCTATTTTTGGTCCAGACGGCCTTGCCCTGACCGTCGATGTTGCCTTTGCCGGTGATGGAGAGCTTCTTCACGCGCATGATCTCGATCCAGTTAGACTTGAACTTGGCCAGGTCGTTGGAAGCTAGCAGGTTGCCTTCCAGCTTGATGGTGAGTCCGTCGCCCTTGCACGGCCCCGTGAAATTCAGAGCTCCAGTCAGGAAATCACCCTTGGGGATGATGATGGTCGGGTTCCCGGTGCTACCGCATGCCGAAGCCCATGCCTCCTCCACCGCCTGCATGCAATTGCAATGCACTCCACCACATGATCCATCGATCCATCATCATTCTTATATTCTCTCTCCTTCAGCACGTACGTACCTCAGTGCAGTCCGTTGTGCCGTCGGGCTTGGCGCCGAGCTTGGTGATGTCGTACTCCCCGCCCGGACCAGACGCCGCCGGACCAGACGCTGCCGGACCATCTGCGCTCTCCTTCTTCTTCTCCTTGCCTTTGGCGGCATATGCGGCGCTCACCACCACCAGGAGCAACAAGACTCTCATCGCAACATTTCTCAACGCCATTTTGGCTGTGGAGTCCTCCTCGGTCCTTGATCCTTGTCAGGCCAGGAGCTTCAGAGCCCAATCTTATATACACATCGGTTCAGGTGGGACAAGTGTTCGGCTTAATTATTCGCTATGCTCATGGCATGCATGCTCATTTGCTATTTTCAGGTTGTGGTTGCCAGCTATACCGGTTTTCTGTCCATTGGTTATTTTTGGATCACCTTTGCTATTTTGATTCCATGTTGCTTGTGTCTCAAAATTCAGCTCCAGCTCTTTATTATAGTATTTCTCTCAAAAAGAGCTCTATCTCGTACATGGGACATAGGAGCATCTCCAACAGATCCCAAATACTTCATCTGAAATAGTGTGTTTTAAGCATGAACAAATGAAAATAAAAAGGTGAAGAAAAAACTAAACTGTAAAACATAAATAGGACAAGCACATGTAATAAAAAGATACAAGAGAAAGAGAGAAGGGGGGAATCAAAGACATATATCTATATCTATATCTTTCCCTAATAATAAAGCAGCGACTGATCCTGGTCGTATGTCGTGTGCATTTTTGCAGAAAAGTCCCTCCGTTTCTGAGAATTCAACCCGCGATCTCTTTTTAAGTGACTACCGAAAAAACGTTTCATTCTTGCAAAAGAGTCCCTGTTGTTTGTGGTATTCAACCCGTCGTCCGATCAGATTTGCAAAGGAAAAAACAGACATGACCACACGCACGGGCTCGCCTCCTCTCCCTCTCGCCCACGCAATCCTCGCCGCCGCCACCACCCACGCCAGCCGCTTCCGGCGAGCTCCGGCGCCGCGCAGCACGCCCCTGAGCTCCCCATCGTCTGCGCTTCCCTCCCCTCCGGCTAGATTCTCCGCTCCCAGCGTCTACCGCCTGCTCGCAACCCCACCCCCGTGGCTAGGGTTTCGGGTAGGGCTTCGCCGGTGTATCTCCGGCGGCCCCAGGTTCGTCCCTCCTTCCTTCTTGGCCGGGATCCTCCACCCCTACATCTCATCTTCTCTTTATATCCTCTGTTGTGGATGCAGATGGAGTAGGCCATGGGATTTCCCCATCCACCACGGTCGCCGCCGTCAAGGGCAGGAAGAAACCCTAGCTAGCAGCACCTCCTCACCTCGAATGATGCCTCTGCTGCACCAAGATAGGGCAAGCAACCCCCATCTGCTCTCTATCTCTCCCATTTGTACAAGTCCATTTTTTGAACAAAATTCTGCTACTACGCCAAATAGTCCATGAACAGATCTATTTTTTATTTGTGAATTGATATACTTCCAAACACAAATAGTGTATATATGTGCCATTTTCATTTTTGTTCCCTTCTCATTTTTGTGCTTTTGTTTGTAAGCTCATAAAATAGTTACAGAAAAAATGCCATGTAAGTTCTTAGCATGCGAGTGGACTATGATGGGAAGGGAGGAGGCCTGCGCCAAGGAGGAAGAGTAGCAGGGCAAAGGAGAGATGCAACATGGGAAAGAAGGGGTGGACTGGTTGGCGCCCCATCATGGGTAAGACAACAGGTGGAGACGTGGAGTGGCTGGTGTTGGGTGCAGGAGAGGATGATTGGGAATTTAGGACATAGGGAAAATGATAGAGGACAGGGCTCCATTGCTTAGCTGCTATTGTTTGCTGCTATTGATCTCAATAGAAAAAATGGGGATGCACTTAGTATATCCTAAATGGAATAAAGCTTGTGATGATAGCTTTTGTTGATAGCATGTCTCCTTTCCAGCATTATGTCGGTTTGTTCGAAAATAAAATTGGACTTCCTTTATTAGCACATGAGTTCATGATTTTGAGAAGTTGTCCTGCAGATTTAGGGGAGTAGGGTTATGCTTTTGACGGTTCAGATTGTGGTCTTGTTTTGATTTAAATTTGACGTGTTCTCATGGTTTGGTATATGGAGTCAATTTGTTTGAGGTTTACATGCAGAGATTTATGGAGGTGGAGTATTTGACTGGTAGGTCTCACTCAGTGCAGGTGTAGGTTGCAATCTGATTGTATGAATTGATGTAGCAAGGAGCTGCAAGGGCAAGTCGAAGATGAGTGTGGTTCGGTTCAATTTAGGCAATGCATTCTGGTCATGACAGCTTGGCAACAACGTGGTTCTCAGTGAGTAATCCATGCGGGAGATCACTGCTATTGTCAGCTTTGGTGGCAAGCAGTGGTTCATTTGCACTACAAGCATTGCGAACTCCAGCATGAACCCAAAAAATTTTGAGTTTCTTTTAAGTTCTAATAGTATGTCTAGATTTCAGCTATCACACATGTCACCGGCCATAACATACCAATTGAGCTCGTCGACCAGTTGCGCAACGCCGACACTGCCAAGAACAAGGTGTATGCCATTCATCACATCTCTTGTTGTTGAACTGTCTATTATAAAAATTATGGGCATGTTTTCTTGTGGGGTTCTTTTGCCTCAATGGTATTATTCTTCTGGAAGCTATGTTGCCAACTCTGAATTTTTATTTACTTCAGAAATTTCAGAGTAAACACTGAATTGCAACATGGCACAATTTAATACCTCACAAACTTTGCAGATTTTGTTTCAATTTTGTAGTTCGGTTTGCTTGCTTGTGTATATGTGTGTGTATACTGAGAGGCAGGGAAATATTATTCTCTTCCAGCAGTTATGTTTCTGTGACATCTACTCCCCTCCACTCCATTTTCTATAGCCTGAAATCTGAATGTGAAAAGTAGATGGAGGTGATCAAGGGAAGCAGTCATGAGCGAGGTGTTTGAGGGCTACGAGCGCCACTAATGTGAGGTCTCAGACGCCTGCGCTCTTGTACTTGATTCGATTGTATTTATATTGACACTTCTTTCCACTGCCTTACATTTTGCCGTTAGGAAGTAATTATCAGCACTAGGCATGCGATTTTGACAGGTGGAGGCTTTATTTTAGTGTAGGTGAACATGTGATTTGGGGAAGCTCTGTAGATCCAGTTACATTGCAGACTTGCCAGCTACACCATCTAAAAAATGGGCCTTGCCTTCATATGAAGCTTTCTTAGATCAACTCTTCCATTGATCAATTTTACAAGTAGGTGCACTGCGTTTGTATACAACAATCTGAATGTGGGAGGTTTAACTATTTTATTATATTGTAAAAAATGGATCACGATGATTTCTTTTTCTGAATCATGAATGGTGGGCTAGAGCCCCACCTGGATCGCGTGTTTTGGAATCCAATAATTAGATAAATGACCACCATCCACATTACCAACCATCTCAGTGTTATTTCCAGTTTCCTAATTAATGTATGAAAAAGAGGATCAATCAATTATTGCTTTCTCCTGTTGCAACGCACGGGCATGTTTGTTAGCTTGCTGCCTCCACCACTGGAACACCCCTTCGCCGGAGGTCAACCCTGGGTGTGCGTATTGGGCACAACCCAATGGAAATTCCAGGGAATCGTTTCATTAAGGGAACCGTTCCAGGTTCATTCAAAAAATGGCACGACCTGATTTACTTTCAGCAACCGTTTCGTTAAGGACAACAGATTTGGACTCTGAGCTTTCCTCTGTGGCTGTTAATATCCCAGCATGTCAGTTTCAGATTTACCACTAGGTCACTTTCCCATGCTGAGGATTTGTCATACCAAGAGGGTAAACGGAGAGACTTCCAGAGCATGGTCATGGTGTGGATCTGGTAAGAGCGGGACTTCCAACTGAAGAGGTCAATGAATAATGTCGTATTCCAAAACCAGCAATGCCTTTCATGCACATGTTTTACCTAGACTCTGCAATTACAATAAACAAGCCAATAGCATGGATTGATGATAATTGCAACTGCTTCTTTAAAGATTTATGCGCTCGACTAATAATTTCTAAATCATTTATGCATTTCTTTCATGGCACATCATGCAGCCAAACTATGAAACTGAGATATCACCAAAGAGAAAAGAGTAATCTACACTAATGTTAGCTTAATGAATCAGTAATCCTTCCAACTTATAAGTAAGAACAACCTGAAAACGTTGGTACTGTTCTCCTGATGAAGTGTTCTTTTTTTGTGAGGGTGATGAAGTGTTTTTGTTTACTGCAGATTTTTGTTGGGTGGATGATGTTTGGGATTATTTTGTGTGCGTGCAGATTGATTAGAATGTGCATATGGAGATTATTTATAGCTCGATCAAAGAGGTAAAATTACCAAATCCCGACTTGTCAGTCATCCGATAACTTTGTTGATTGTCAGTTATACATTTGATTCGTGAATTTTGAAGGTTCTGAGCTTGAAACTCCAAAGTACAGATATGTTACTCTGTTTTTCTAAAATAAATGATGATTGTAGATTTTAAATTTTGCATCATGAATGCATCTACCTATTATTAGTAACGGTTTTTTCCGCCTGTTATTAGTAATGGTGTTTTTCGTCAAAAGATAATAGTACTGTTGGGCTGAGTCTAACACTGGAGCATCGAGGTTTGTCCTACAATCTCGTACAATATTTGTTCAGTGCACTTCATTGCGGTTCAGTGAAAATGGGGTTGCTCTACAACCTAATTACCTTTCTATGTCATCAGACTTTCTTTATTCTGAACCATCCTGCTGATAGTAAATGTAACCATGTAACTCATTTTCTATGTGTGCCAATAGGCAAGGTACACTTTCGCTCTGCCTCTGCCCAAGCTCGCTGCCGTCCCTGGTCGCGCGGCCGCCTATGACCAAGTAACCTCTCTCTCCCGCGCGCCCCTGGAGCTCCTTAATCTCCTGGTCTACCTTCTCTCTCATCGACCTTTCTTTGTATTTCAATTGTAGGATAATTAGTGGATGTTGATAAGTGTACTATTCATGTTGTTGCTAACATTTCTGACTAACTGGTCCTAAATTTGTTCAGTGTGATTGTTCAGAGGAGAAGATATTTGTACTAGAAGATGATGTATATTTTACTGAATTTTTTCCAGAACATATGTTTTTTGTAGATAGAAGATGGAGTATACTTTTCTGAGATATTTTGTACAAAGAAGATATTGCTACACTACTTTCATGTGTTCAGATCGTGACTGTAGTTTGGACAGTTGGCATGATTTTTTGTGGTTGATATAATGCTCAAATTTGCTTCATTTGATAGTGAACTTCTTCAGGCCTTCATTCGGAACCTCACCGTGACACCGCCCCCCATCTCTCTGGGCCCCCATATTCACCTCCCGACTCCATTGGGCAATTTCTAATAAAGATGATTAGTGTTTTTTGAACCCATTGGTCGAACTGAGAGTAAATTTATGCATTTTGTTATCGATTCATTCATACGTAAAAATAGAAGATGAGCAAATATTTGTTATTCAGGAATCAAAGTCCTTTTAGAGTATGAGATCGTCTTGCTCGTAACTTGCTTATTAAACATAGAAGGTGAAATTCAATGAGAACAAAAGGTATGGATTAGTGAGTAATGCCTAAAAATTTGTGTTTTTCCTTTCACTCGGCCCGCCCAGCTTTTCTTTCGAGCTCGGCCACTGATGAGCCGATGACAAGATTGTAAGCAATGACACATGTGATGTCACGTCGTTGTACGTGATGCAGGAAATCATCTTTTCATGTTTTCCTTTACATGTTCACAATGTATTTCCCGTTGCAACGCACGGGCAATTTTCCTAGTCTATATCTATATCTATATCTATACCTACTAATAAAGCACCTATTGCTTCTGGTGGTACGTCATGTAATTTACCCTATAAATTGACAAAAATTACCCACCAATGCCACCCGTAAGTCAAAAAATGATTCGGTATTTCCAAAGTCTCCGCTGCGATTAGTGCTCTTATAGAGAAGATACCACAAATAGTTCACACAGACATCGATAGCTTGTCTCTTTCCACCCGGAGACTGGGGTTCGACCCCCAGGCTTGGCAAATTTCCCCTCAATTTTTGTCACGCACCCCCCTCCACCAATGCGCATTCATGGGCCAGCCCGCAGGCGCAACGCCCCTGTTTTTTTTTCATCTTTG